AGGCTGATGCTGAGGCAGGCTGGGCTGAGAGGCTGAGGCTGAGGCAGGCTGAGGCTGAGGCAGGCTGAGGCTGAGGCCGAGGCACGCTCAGGCCGAGACAGGCTGAGGCTGATACTGAGGCTGAGGCTGAGGATGAAGCCGAGGCAGGCCGAAACTGAGACAAGGTGAGGCTGAATGGGGGGGGGGGGGGAAGGGAAGGGGGGGGGGGAGAGGGGAGGCTGAGGCAGGCTGAGGCTGAGACAGGCTGAGGCCGAGGCTGAGGCTGAGGCTGAGGCAAGCCGAGGCAGGCTGAGGCTGAGGCTGAGGCTGAGGCTGAGGCAGGCTGACGCTGAGGCAGGCCGAGGCTGAGGCTGACGCAGGCTGAGGCCGAGGCAGGCTGAGGCTGAGGCCGAGGCAGGCTGAGGCTGAGGCCGAGGCAGGCTGAGGCTGAGGCTGAGGCAAGCCGAGGCAGGCTGAGGCTGAGGCTGAAACTGAAGCAGGTTGAAGCATCCGTAGGAATCCATAGGAATCCTTAGGAATCCCTAGGAATCCTTAGGAATCCGTAGACATCCTTAGGAATCCGTAGGCATAGTTAAGCATCCTCAGGAATCCTTAGGAGTCCTTAGGATTCCATTGGATCCTAAGGCCGTTGCCACTGCGACTGTCATTGCGAATGCGCCTGCGACTGCGAGAACAGCAGAATTCTACAACTGGATTCTCACCTGAATCTTAAGGGGAATGCTTCCAGATATGCTCATACACATCGCTGTTAGGTTGCTTTGCCGGGATAATGTTATCCCAGAGCCCGGCCTTAACGCACCGCCGGCAACCCACTCGCGACTGGGGTGCTAACAATTGTCGCACTCGCACGATTGCCCCTACTCCAAACACCTCCCCCCCTTGCCGCCCCATCCCTCCCCCGCTCTTCCCTCCCTTGCGCCTACCATCTCGCATGACCCCCCTTTCCTCCCTAGCTTCCCCCCTTCGTTTCTCCTCTCATCCTCTCCCGCTCTCTCCGTGTACTTCGCACGCGCATGGCGGGAGACCTCCGCGACGCGAGCAACCCGACCCGCGCAACGTGCCGCGCATGGCGCGGCGCGGCGCGCTTGGGCAAGACATCATACACGCACAGACCGGAGGTCCCGTGAGCGGCACCAGCAACGCAACGCCACGCACGCGGCACCACGCAGGCCGCGCACACGGCGCCGCGCACGCGGCACCGTGCGCAAACACCGGGCACCTCGCGCGGCAGCACGTACGTGGCGCTATTTGCACGGTACCGCGCCGGCACGCAGCACGACGCGCATCGAACTGTGCACCGCGCGCAAGGCACGCACGCGCACGCAAAAAAAGCACCGCGCAACACCGAGCCCGCAACTCCAGGCACACGACACCACAAATTCAACGTCGGCTGCAGAAGCGGCGGTGCGTTCGCGGTACCTCGCGTGCGGCGCCGCGAGGAAACGCCACAACCTCGGCGCCGACCGCGGGGCGCCGCGCGAACGGCACAACCCGCGCTGCACCGCGCACGCGGCACAGCACGCAACGCAGATGCCCAACTTGGGGTGCACGTCGGCAACGCGACAGCAGCTGATGAACAAATCTCAACAAAAAACAGAAAATACAAAAAACATCTGGCGGAGGATTTACAAAATCGTTGCCAAAATCGGTTTGGTGGACGGGGCCTCATGACCTCCGGCGACCAGCTGCCCAGGTAGCCCCGCTCGCTCTTCGGGGCCCCCATCGCCGCCAAGGCCGACGGGAGCGTCGCTCGCTCCGAATGCTCCGCCCAGAAGCCCGCGACCTCCTCGGGGAGGAGGGGCTCCGCAATCTCGCCCTTCGGCGCCGGCACCAGCATCTTCCAAAGCACCTCCTGGACCGCCGCTGCCGTTTCGGCGTATCTGGCGGGCCTGCGGACAACCTCGTGGCCGGCGCCGTCGCCCCGCGACACGAAGTAGCCCATCTCTAAGCCCGCGATCTCCTGCCACAGGCGGACTCCCGTCTCTATCCACGACGGGTCCAGCATGAGGGACTCGCGGGATACCAGCACCGGCAGCTCCAGCGTCTTGCGCCCTGCACCGCTGGTCTGCGCACGTATCAATGTGGCCGTGAGACCGCCGCCCACGAAGGCGAGGCGCCGAGGCGGGAGCAAGCCGTGTTAGTCGCAGCGCAGCACCGCCCAGACCGTGACGAGGCGAAGCCACGACACCCCGCGCAGGCATTTCGCGAGGCCACCGGGCGACCAGCTGCTCCAGGGCCCCGATAACGGCTGGCGAATCGGGCCGCCCTCATCGTCAGACCTTTGTCAGCGCCGAGGAGCATCTCCGTATTACTCACAACGACCTGTTAGACCTCCAGCCGATCGGAGTGCATGGCGCTCCGCGCGCTCAGCCCAGGCCAGGGCACGGAGGCCCTGGTTGGGCACCGTCGGCCCACAGGGCTCGGCAGCCCCGGCGCGCACGTGGCCGATGAATATAAATGCACGGCCGTCCTCGGCCACGGAATGCTGCGAGCGCGCAGGAGCCATCGGCGCAGCGGCTCGCACGCAAGCGCGTACGACCTCACTGTGTTAACGCGCGCGCGCGGCCCGTGATGCCATCCAGCGCCGGCCCCGGGTCCATGCAAGACCGCGCCACCTCCAGCGAAGGCGCTTCCATCTCGCTGATTAGCTGGAGCAGACGCGGCCTCCAGCGTGCCCACTCTCAGGCCTCCAGCTCGCCACGGGTCTCCTCGGCGGCGGCACGGAACTTCCGCGCGCAGCGCGCCACTCCACTTCGCACGCGGCCAAAATTCTCGCCGCTGGGGCGCCGTCCAGCATGGCCTGTTCGGGGCGGCCGTGGGGCGCCGCCTCCTATACACTGAAGTTCGCGGCCGCCGCCACCTCTCCGAGCGTCTCCTCGAACTCGAGCTCGCTCGCCTGCAGCACCAGGCGCGAGCCGAGGAGGCACCAGCCATGCAGCACCTTGCGGACCCGCCGCCGCGCGGCGTCGAGGGCGAACGGCACAAGGGCAAGCATCTGCGCCCAACCGTTCCTCCAAATCGGCCGACCGCCTGACTCCAAATGGCAACAGACGTCGGGCAGGTAAGGAGGACACACTCACGTGTTGGCACACGGGAGCACACTAGTACGATGCGCCTCGATTCGAGGCGCAAGTCCGACCCGAACATGTTGTATAAACAGATTGTGGCGCATCGTTTCCCGAGCGGTATGGCCAGAGAGCGCCGGCCACGGAGCTGATACTACAAGACCTCTCGGAGCGCGCGTCGCCCCGGGGAGGGCGACGCACACACAGCGTCAGCATGTTGGAGCGACGCCGAGCGAGGGGCAGCCACAGGGGTGGACTGGCTCAGAGGGGGGGAAGCGCCCAGTGGCGGTGTTTGCAGGCGTCCCCCTCCCACCCAGAACAGCGTTTCGTGGCCCCACGGGGAGTTCCACCCAAGGCCCCAGTGGCGGTGTGTTCGCACGGGTCTCCCCCCGCCCAGCACAGCGCTTCGTGGCCCCACAGGGAGCTGCACCTCAGGCCCCAGTGGCGGTATTCGCATGCGTCTCCCCCCCCCAGGACAGCGTTTCGTGGCCCAACCGCCGACAGATCGGCGATGGGCCCATGATAGGACATCCACACGGTCCTGGGCGGGGGGGGCTGTCGAGCCCCCAGCGGAGCCCCATCGGCGATCAGTGGGTGCTTCGGGGTCGATGCACCTCCCCCTGAGACGATCCCCCTCCGGAAACTGCCCCCTGGCTTTCGGGCCGTGGCTCGGCTTCCTGGCGGCCGTTCGGGGCGATCCGGGCACCCCCGGAGAGCTCTCGGCGAGGCGCCGCTGCAGAGCACCCCGAGGCTCAGCCGTTTCTCCAGCAGTGGAGAGCCACTGCCGGAGAAACGGCCGAAGACCACGAGCCTCGACCCCGAGGAGGTCGCCCCCCCTGAGCCGATCCCCCCGTGCTGCAGGGAGGCGCCCAGAGGATCAGGAAAATGGTGTGCTGCATCTGTGGGGGACCTCGTCTGCACCGTCGCGCCAGCCATCCTTGTCGCATCCATGTCGATCGACCCCGAAGGCATCGAGTCCGTGTCGAATCCGTATCGACTCCTCGCCGAATCCACGTCGAATCCGCGTCGAACCCACGTCGGAGTGCAAGAGAAGACTTCCAGTTACAGGACAGGAAAGGCAGATGCAGAGTAAAAGAGGGGCTGCCAGGCTGGCCCTTGGAGCCCTCGGTAGGTGCGCCCACCGTGACGGCACGAGAGCGAGCGCGGGCGTTCGGGAGGGCACTCTAGCCCTGAGATCCGGCCAGAGGGGGGCGACAAAAGGACAAGGAGGACACGGTGGAAAAAAGTACCGATACCGCTATCCATCCCTCGTTCTCGCCGTTCGAAGCCTCCCGGGAGGCCCTCTTTGCCACGGCTGGATTCGCCTCGAAATGTTGGTCAGAACGCACCCTGGGAGAAGTCCGGAGAGGAGCCCTAAGATCCGGACGTTGCAATTTTTTCACACTGGGCGTTTTCGATCGGTTCGGGCACCAGGACCATCACATATCGATCTGGCACGAAAAATGCCGCAGAAAGATCGGGCCTAAGGCTCAGGCCGTGATTACCCACAAGGTTGCAACTGTTTCGCAGCGTCGGATATCAAGGAGGAGAAAAGCATTTCCGAGGACGCTAAGACCACCCATCCCTCCTCCCTTCACCCCTCCCTCTGCGTCCTCCCCAGGATGTCGCGTGGCAATCTTGAACAGCATTGGTCATGGCTTGGGCGAAGGCGAACCGTGGAAGCTGTGGCCAAGAGGCCGTCTTCAGGCCTTGGGAAAGCCATTCTGGACGAGGAAAGGCGGCAAAGCAAAAACACATCAGAAGGTTATGCCAGAAACGAATTGAAAAGTGTATTATGCGGCTATCATGCTTGACCGTCCTGGACAGACTGGACCGCATGCGAGTGCTCTGGGCTCCCAAGAGGATGCTATCTGAACGCAGAGATCCTGACGCTGTCAGCCTGTCACGCACGCGATGGACGCGGTACTATCATAGAGAAGACGTCGGGCTCCAGCTTCGCCTCCCGAACCTCGCTGAACCCTGAGAGGGCCTGCTGCCACTGCTCGACGTTTCCGCACGCGTTTACTCCAGCGCTGTAGCTGCTGACGCCACGCGCCATGACGCCGTCTGCACATCTTTGAGCAACGACGGGGCCCGCTGCCACTGATGACCTTTCTCGCACGCGCTGACCACTGCGCTGGAGATGACCCTGGTTGACCCGTGGATTACCAGAAGATCGGCTTCTGCCAAAGCTAAACGCCTTCAGAAATCCACGAAACACTGAACGCGCATACCGCTAGTCTGCAGAAGGTTAGCATGATTCAATGCACCTGTAGCTATTCCCGAACTTCATTTTGACTAGAAAGTTGTTTTCCGTATGGAAATTCATGGTTTTGATCAGAAATTCAAATTATAAACGATTAATTCGCATTTTTGCATTTTAATTGATTAACTCGTAATTGTAAATTCATGATGGTGAACGACAAGGCAGCCAGCACCAAAGGCGATGTGGACGCTTCCAGTGTTGGCGCAGTCCTCTCCGGGCGTCGACCCGCCACTTCGGCCCGCGGGTCGCCCCTCCTGGACACGGAGCGCGTCGTTGACTTGAAGTTTCCTCCTCCTCCTCCTCCTCCTCCTCCTCCTCCTCCTCCCCCTCCCCCTCCTCCTCCTCCTCCTCCTCCTCCTCCTCCTTCTCCTCCTCCGGGTTTCTCAAGGAGCCGTCTGAAGAGGCCCTGCTGAGAAGGCCCTTGCCCGCTAAGGAGCGCGCCGCCTTCTTCGGAGGTTGTGGAGGCTACGGGAGGTAAAGCAAGAAGCGTATTGCGCGCACCTGGCCATTTCAGAAGAGACTCGATCTGCTTTTCCTGACCAGGCAGACGACACTGCCTGCGCAGGCTCACGAAGCGGGACTGCTTCGCCGGCGCATGCGCGGCCGCCCTCTCTGACCAGACCTTGGACTTCGACCTGGAATTTGACAACGACGACGGTTTCCAGGTCCCTACTGCTGGTGTCGATGGTGAACGGTTGGGGGCCCAAACTACCGCCAGATTACGTCAAAACGGTGGCCCAAGGCTCGCAAAAAACAGGAGAAGGCCAAGCAGGACCAGGCCAAAGAGAAACTTGTCCAACAGATGGTGGAGACGAAGCCTGCGGACCTCTTCAACACGGCCCGTTGGAACGCTCGCCCGCGCCGGGCTAATCGGGGGTCTGGCAGGGGGCAGTGCCAGAACTGCCCAAGCAGCATCGCTCTTCACCTCCACGATGGCCGCTGGCGAGAGCTCTGTCGACCGTGCCGATGCTAACGGCTTGCCGCAGGGAAGAAACAAATTACCCCAGTGCGACCCTACCTAGAAGTTGGAGCCCCTAGGAAAGCAGAATTCGTTGCTATGCTATGCTATGCTATGCTATGCTATGCTGCGCTATGCTATGCTATGATATGATATGCTAAGCTGCGCTATGCTATGCTATGCTATGGTATGCTATGCTATGCTGCGCTGTGCTATGCTATGATATTATTGGCTGTGTTATGCTATGCTATGCTATGTTATGCTAATGCAGCGCTGCGCTATGCTAAGCTAAGCTAAGCTAAGCTAAGCTAAGCTAACCCGCGTGCCTGAGCTAAGCTCAGCTAAGCTAAGATGAAATAAGCTAAGTTCAGATGAGATAAGCGACGCTAAGCTAAGAGGACGTAACTGGGGGAACCGCGGGGCGGATACTGGGGGAACCGCCCGGGGCGCTTTCCACTGCCCGGCCCCTTTAAACCCAGAGAGTAAGAACCCTTCTAGGCAGAGCCTAGGTAGGGAAATACTCAACAAACACTCCAGCATGATATTAAGATTACACCCATGCTATGATATGCGATGCTGCGCTATGCTATGCTACGCTATGCTATGCTATGCTGTGCTCTGCTATGCTAAAGCTCAGCGAAGCTAAGATGAAGGTAAGCTAAGCTAATATAAAACTGAGGTAAGATGCAGTTAAGCTAAGGTAAGATGAAATAAGCTAAGCTAAGATGAGATAAGCAACGCGAAGCTAAGGGAACGTCACTGGGGGAACCGCGGGGCGGATACTGGGGGAACCGCCTGGGGCGTGCCCCACTGCCTGGCCCTTTAAGCTACGAAGTAAGAACCCTTCTAGGCAGAGCCTAGGTAGGGAAAAACAAAAAAAAACGAAAAACAAAAAAAGGGCGCCACAGCCCAGAGAAAAAAGGCGGGGGCAAGGACAACGGCGGAGGCAGAGCCAGAGGCCAAGAGCGAGGCAACCCACGCGCAAAGAAATCGACAGCAAGGGCGCCCCCCAAAGGCGACCCAAAAGGCGGGCCCTATCCCGATCCGCCGGAGGCAGGCTGCGAGGAATTCGGACGTGACGGGGTGGATGGCCCGTCTGTTTGTAGAAGTTTACCCAAGATTTCCCCGCCTCAAACCTACGGGGAGCGGCGGGCTCATCTGTTCCACTCGCGCTCGAAGCCTGCATCTCCCGAAAGGCGCCGAGGTGGCCTGGCCAGGCCAGCTCTGCCCACGACGCTCATCACGGCGCAAAAACAAGGCTCCGGCGCGGGAAACTCATCCACGGCACGAAAGCCAGGTTTTAGCGCCGTGTAGGAGTGGAGGAGTTCCCCCGCGCATCGCGAGTAGTGCTTTGCAGGACACTCCATAGCCTTGTGGCTCAAGGCCACGAACGTCCCCCCCCTCGGGGTCTCCCGCGCTCAAAGGGGCACCCGACGCAAGTGGGCCCCGCCCGCGCGCCCGGGCTGCGCGACCCGGCCGCCCCTGGATTGCCGCCTGGACGGCGCCGTTCACCGGGCGCACTGAGCACCCTGTTGCAGTAGAAGGCCCAACCAAATTGGGCAGGGAAGGAGAATCCATGGAGGATCGTATCGGGCCGTCTGAGGGGAACTTCGAGCCGTCTTGGGGATCATATTTGACCACCTTGGACCGACCCGACCGCGTGCGAGAGCTCTGGCCTCCCGAGAGGACACTCGTGGGGCCCAGGGCCCACGGATCCTGGCGCGGTCAGCCAGTCACGCACGCGCTGGACGCGGCTTTGTCATAGATTATAGAGATGACCTCGGGCTCCTGCTTCGCCTCCTGAACCTCGCTGAGCAATGACAGTGCCTGCTGCCACTGCTCGGCGTTCCCACACGCGCTTAATGCAGCGCTGTAGCTGATGATGTCGAGCGCCAAGATCGCCTCCTGCACATCTCCGAGCAGCGACAAAGCCCGTTGCCACTGGAGACCTCTTTCACACGCGCTGATCATCGCGTTGTAGCTGACCCGGGTGGACCCGTAGATGACCAGGCCCCTGGTTTCTTGCAAAGCTACGCCGAAGAAGCGTATCTTTCGCCTGCAACGGTGCCTCCTCGGAGCAGCTTGCGGACAGGCCGTCTAGGGACCCCCTTATCTTCAAGGGAAGAAGCGGAGCTGAAGGCACACACGTGGACGGGGGGGCAGGGTGGTAGAAGTACGGTCGCACTTGATTGGACAGGACACGCGAGAGGACACAAGACCCTTCCAAATGCCACATCGCCAATGGAGTGTAAGAAGGCACGTGTCGCGAGGCACAGGACACAAGGGTACCCTTGAGCTGGCAGGGTCGACCTACTAATCTGGGCCGACTGTAACCAACACGTGCAGCTGAGCCCACAAAAGGAAGCACTCGGAGGCCCTAAAAGATGCCAAGGCAACCGTGCAGGAGGATCGGAGGAGCCAGGTGGATCTCCAGAGGCGCCCGCCCGAGACCGATCCAGCGCAGCCCCACAAAGGCCCCATTAGCCGCGCAAGACTTACGTCGGGCGCGTCCCCCTACAGGGGGATATTTGACGAAAATTACAACAAAAATAATCCCAAAAATGCCCCAAAATGGTCAAATATTCAAAAAATCGTCCCAATACTATTTTTCACTATTTTTGAATATCCCCCCTGTAGAGGGACAGGCCCGGCTTAACATTAGCCGCGCAAGACTCCCAGGACCTTGGAGAGGGTCTGTCCGCGAGAGTCGGGGGAAGGAAGCACGCCCGACATCCTCAGCGCGCAAGGGTCTGCGGACGTCGGGAGCTCGTCCGGGAAGCAGCTTGGAGCTCGCAAACGTCCCGCGGACTGAACCTGAGGCCCTGGTGAAAGCTCGGGATGAACCTGTGATGGACTCTCGATGAGCATGCGACAAGGAAAAGAAAGCACCTCGAGAGGCTTGGAAAATGTCCCAAGAATGCGCTGGAAACCTGCAGGACCCACCCGTGAACTTCAACGGACCGGCTAGCAGGCCGAAGAGCTCCGAGGAGCTCGCAGAGAGCGTTCATGATGCGGTCGACGCAAAGATCTCGCCGGTCATGAAAACTCGTTGAATCGGCCAAGGGAGGATGATCGCCCACCTGGCCAAAGAAAATCGGCGTTCTCGCACGCGCTGGCCACAGCGCTATACACGACGACGGGGGGCTTCAAACTTACATCCGACATCTCACTGAGCAACACCAGCGCCCGCTGCCACTGCCCGCCTTTCTCACACGCGCTAACCCCAGCGCTGCAGCTGATAACGTTGGGATCCAGCCTCGAATCCCACATCTCTCTGATCAACGCCAAAGCTCGCTGCCACTGCCCGCATTTCTCGCACGCGCTGATCCCAGCGCTATAGCTGATCAGGGCTGACCATTAGACCACGTCCACGAAATTGACGTGAAGCTCGAACTTCGCATTCCGCGCATGCTGCTGCGTGCTGCTGCTTGCTGCCGTTGTTGCGTGCTGTTGGTAATGCTGCCGCTGTTACGTTGTGGTGATCCTTGCCCATGCTGCGTGCTGTTGCTGGTCGTGGCGGCAAGGTGCCTGATGAGTGCGTGCTGCAGCCCGGTGCCTGCTGCTGCTTGCTGCTGTTGTGCTGCCGCCGTCTGGCGTCAGCTTCCTAGCCCTGGGGGGGACTGGACAAGACAGGAGAACAAGACCGCTCTTTTGCTCGAAACGATGCCACGGGTTCTCGCCTGCGCCCGCTTGGGAAGGGCGAGTGGGCGAGGAGATCGAGGAGGGGGGGGCGTTGTGAGACGCGAGGAGCGATCATCTTGGAGGTCTCTTGGGATCTTCTTGGGGCCTTCTTCGTGGCTCATGGGCGCCTGTGGAGCCCTCCCAAGCCTCCAGGAGCCATCTGGGCCGCCCTTGGAGCAACTGGGAGCTTTTGGAGGGCTTTTGGCACGTTCGAGGAAGGGCCTTGGGGCCATCTTGGAGCGTTCCTGAGCCGCCTTGGGCCCGTCCTGGGGCCGCCTTGGCGGCCTCTTGGGGCCGTCTTGGAGGCCTGTTGGGCAGTATTGGGCCCCTTTTAGAAGCCCTCTCGGGCCCTCGAGGGGCGATCTCGAGGGCCTCTGGGACCCTCGTGGGCGAAACGAGCCCAAGAAAATCGAGTGTGCGGAAATGCTTCTGACAAAATATCATGAATTCCTACAGACATGCAGACACACACATACATACCAACATAAGCATATACAACATACAGACGCGCATACATGCATGCATGCATGCATGCATGCATACATACATACATACAAACATGCATGCATGCATGCATGCATACATACATACATACATGCATGCATGCACGCATCCATCCATCCATCCATCCATACATCCATCCATATATACATACATGCATACATACATACATACATGCATACATACATACATACATGCATACATACATACATACAATACACTATATACATACATACATACATACATACATACATACATGCATGCATGCATACATACATACATATATACATACATGCATACATACTTCCGTACATACATACATACAGACAGACAGACAGGCAGACAGACAGACATGCATGCATCCATACATACATACACACATACATACACACAAACGTACATGCGTGCACACATACATACATACATTCATACATACATGCATACATGTATACATGCATACACACATGCATATACATGATTGCATGCATACATACATGCATCCAGACATATCTACATGCATACATACAAGCTTACATATATACACAGTTGTATAATATACATATATATATACATACATACATACATGCATACATACAAACAACTATACATACATACATGCATGCATGCATACATGCATTCACACATATCGACAGACAGACAGACAGACAGACAGACAGACCGACAGACAGACAGACAGACAGATATGCGCTATACCATTAATTCAGAAGCATCCAAAGCAGTACTATCATTCGCTCTGAGGGGGCCAGAGCGACCATCCCCACAGTGAGATGGCAGCTTCGCAGAGCTTGGCGTCGGTAATTGGAAGTAGCTTGCTTGCGCCATGGCTACGTGCGAGGAGTCAGAGTCAGTGGTGTCCTTCTGGGGCCCCTCTCGTGGGCTCCTCCATCCCACAACCAGGACGCCAGCCGATGGCGCTGCAATCTAACCCTTGCAAGCCAGTCTGCAACCGATTCGCCGTCCTGAAACTCATGTCGCGGTGACGCCCTTTAGCTGACCTTTTTGGGGCGAACATGTTGCCTATGGAATTCACTCACGGTCGCGTACAAGTCTCTTCTCTGACGCCGAGAGCACCGAGTGCCAGAAAGGTGGCACAATCCGGTGGACCAAGACTGGTCCGGCAGGCCACGGCGCGCTACAAGGCGGCCCACGAAGGGGTCAAAATAGCCTCAAGACCTTCCCAGACAGGCTCTAGACCACCGACGAGGGCTCCAAACGGCCCAGAGAGCTCCAAGAAAGCCGAAGAATGCCCCAAGGCGGCCAACGATGATCTCCCCACGGACCGAAAGGGGCCCCGGAACGCCCCAAGACGGCTCAAAGGGCACACCCATAAGAGCCTCCAGCAGAACTATGCACGTATGTAAGTATGACTGTATGTATACATGTAGTTATACGCATATGGGTATGACTACGTGCATGTGTTATGTATGTATTCACGTATGTGTGCACGTATGTATGTATGTATGCATGCACGTATGTATGTATGCATGGATGTGTTGTGTATGTATGTATGTATATATGTATGTATGTATGACTGTATGTATGTTTGTCTGTCTGTCTGTCTGTATCTATGTATGTACGCATGTATGTACACATGCATGCATACATGTGTATGCATGCATGTGCCTGTATATGTGTATACATGTATACACAGGTATACATGCATGCACGCAGGTATGTATGCATGTATGTATGTATGTGTATGCATATATGTATGTATGACTGAATGGATGGAAAGAGTGATGGATGCATGTATGCATGCATGCATATCAGCATGCATGTACGTATGCATGTCTGCGTGCATGCATGTAGGTCTGTCTGTCTGTCTGTCGGCCTCTCTGTCTGTACCTATGCATGTATGTGTAAGTATGTATGTATGTATGTGTGCAGGCATGTAGTCATGTATACACGTCTGTCTACACACATGCATACATACATACATGCATGCATGCATGCTTACACGCATGCATGTCTACATACATACATACATATATACATACATACATACATGCATGCATGCATGCATGCATGCATGCATACATACATACATGCATGCATGCATGCATGCATGCATACATACATACATACATACATACATACATATATATGTGTACATACCTACATACGCGCACTGCATACATACATGCATGCGTACATGCATGCATGCATGCATACATACGTACAGACATGGATGCATAACTACATGCATATGTATGCATATATATGTGTGTGTACACATATGCATACGTGTATGCATATGTTCGCGCATACATGCATGCTGATATTCATGAATGCCTGCATGCAAACATGCATACCTATATACATACGTACATGCATCCATACATGCATACATACATACATGCATCCATCTATACATACGGTGATGCTGCGTTCTGCTGCTGCGTTATGCTGCTTGCTGTTTTCTATTGCCCTTGCAGAACCCATGTTTGGGGGTGGTGTCCTTTCGAAGCCTGGTAGGGCTCCTTGGGGGGTATGGGGGCTGCCCGGGAGGTCATGAGGACCATCTTGGTGCAGTCTTTGATTGTCTTTGGGGACCATCTTGGAGGCCAGGTGAGCACATTTCGGATTATCTTGGGTGCGTCTTGGGCCGTCTGGGGGGGGCCTCTTGTGACCTATTGAAGGCCTCCAGTGCAGTTTTGCGGTCTTTCTGGAGCCGAAGAGTGGCGTGCGCCCCCAAAAAATAAGCACATAGTAGGAACTTAAGTCTTCACCTCTCGGGAGCACTGGGTGGGGCCATCGTGAAGCCTGGTCTCCTTGGCGCCATCTTGAGCTGCCATGGGCGATCTAATAAACATACGTGGCCGCAATGTGCACCCCCTAGAGCTATCTTAGGCCATCTAGGCACCTGCAAGGACTTTCCCGTGCCGTCCGGGGCCGTCGAGGCCGCAGGCTGGAGCCATGGGAGGCTTGCCACTCATTCCGACTCGCACGCGCTGGCACTGGCCTCAGTGTGGCTTACAGTCGGACCTAGGCCAGATGAAAGCCCCCTCAAGAACATGAGACCCTCCGTCGGCCAAAACAAACAGAATAACTGAAGGCACCCTCCCCAGGATGCACAAGAACATCCAACAAAAACGACGGACACGATGTTACCCTCCCCGAACCGACTTCGATCTGATACCTCCGTCCGACAGTATATCGTTGGGTTCCAACCTCGCACTCACAATCTCGCTTAGCAACACCAGCGCCCGCTGCCACTGCCCTCCTTTCTCGCACGCGCTGATCCCAGCGTTGCAGCTGATAACGTTGGGATCCAGCCTCGAATCCCACATCTCTCTTATCAACGTTAAAGCTCGCTGCCACTGCCCGCATTTCTCGCACGCGCTGATCCCAGCGTTGTAGCTGACTAGGGCTGACCCGCGGCCTTCCGGCCGCGGAATCTGCCCGCCATGGCGTGGACGTGGAAGTGGAGCGTCTCGGGGGCCTCGCGGGGGGGGGAGGTTGGAGGGGACGGCATGGATGGAGGATGTGGCCGCTGGAGGGCGAGGTAGGCGAGGGATGCAGGCAGGAAGGCCTGAAGGCAGGAACGTGATGGTGGAGGCGGTATCAATGGACGCACACCCATGCACGACATGATGTAGCTGTTTCTCACGCCGCGCTCTGTGTTCGTAATAGTTTTTGCGGAGCGGGTCGCCGTGATAATTGTATCTGCTCTTCGCCAGGGCCGAATGATAATTTTATCTGGTAGTGCGGTGAGAGTGGGACTGGTGCGCGGCCTAAGAGGCCCGCAAGAAGGCGCCGAGACGGCCCAAGAAGTCTCCGGGACGGGCCAAGAGGCTTCCAAGACGGCCCAAGAGGGCCCCACGAACTCCCGAAGACGGGCCTCAATGCGAGGACACGCGACCATTCCAGCGCACCGCCCCCAAACGTCCCCAAAAAGCCTAGAGATGGCTCCCAGAGGGTCGAAAAAGTCCCCAAGACGACGCTGGAAGTTCGACGCTCCTCAACAGGAAGCATTCAAGGCCTCTTGGGGGCCGTTTGGGGGCCGTTTTTCGTCCTCCTGGGGGTCTCTCGGGGTTCTCTTGGGCCATCTGGAGTGCCTCTTGGGCCGTCTTGGGGCCCTGTCGGGCCGTCTTGGGCGCCTCTGTGGCCATCTTGGGGCCGTCTTGGGGCCATCTTGGGCCGTTATTGGGCGCTCTTCGGGTTGTCTTGGGTGTCTCTTAAGCCGTCTCGGACGCCTCTGGAGCCATCCCAGGGCACTCGGGCCGTTTGGGGGCCCTCCTCGGGGCGTCTTCGGGCGCTCTTGGGGCCTTGTGTGGGCGTATGGGGGCCCAGGGCTCGGAATGCCAGGGTTTTTCCCTGTTCTTTGGCCCCCTCTTGGGCCTGGCTTGGGCCTCTTGGGCCATCTTGGGGCTCACTGGGCAGTCTGGGGACGCGCTTGGAGGCCTGTTGGGCCGTCCTGGGGCGGTCTTGTGGGTCTCTGCGGCCGTCTTGGAGCGTTGGCTAGCCGAGAAGGCGAGAAGGCAAAACTCCTTCAAACACCATTGAAAAATTAAAGATATTGGCCTCTGGGGGCATGCTTCGGAGGACTGTTGGAGGCTCTTCGAAGCCTCTTGGGCCTTGTTGGGGGCCTCTTGGGCGCTGCTTGGGGCCTCTTATGGCCACTTCGGCGCGTCTTTGGGCGGAGGGTTCGATCTGTGACGCTCGGGGGCCAGCATTCCCGTGAGGGGTGCCGAAAAAAATTGATACCTGGGGCCGTCCTGGGAGCCTCTTGGTGTCACCCTGGGGCCGTTGTGGGCGCCTCTTGGGCTCTCTTGACGCCCTCTCGGGCCGGTTTTTTGTACGTCTTGGGGGCCTCTTGGGCCGTCTTGGGGCGGTCGTGGGGACCTGGAACCAGCTTCTGCGCCATATTCCCGCGAAGCAGCGCATGCTGGAAGTGAGCGCTTTTCTTCGGGAAAACAATGATTGTCGCCTCTGGGGCCATCCTTGGACGCCTCTTGGGCGTCTCTGGGGCCGTCGTGGGCCGTCTTGGGTGTGTTTTCGGCGGTCTTGGGCTCTTGGGCCGTCTTGGGGGTGTGTGGGGCCGTCCTGGGCGCCTCCTGGGAGCCTCTTGGGGCCGCCTGGGGGCCGTGTTCGGCGCCTCTTGGGTCTCTGGACGCTCTCGCGGGCCGGTTTTCGTGCCTCTGGGGGGCCTCTTGGGCCGTCTTGGGGCGGTCGTGGGGGCCTCTTGTCCCATCTTCTGCGCCATACTCCAGACAAGCAGTGCGTGCTAAAATTGGACGTTTTTCATTGAAAGACAATGATTTGGGCCTGTGGGGGCCATCCTGGGACGCCTCTTGAGCGTCTCTGGGGCCGTCGTGGAGGCCTCCTGGGCCTTGTCGGGGCCGTTTTCGGCGGTCTGGAGCTCTCTTGGAGCGCTCTTGGGCCGTTTTGGGGGTGTCTGGGGCCGTCCTGGGCGCCTCTGGGGCCGCGTGAGCGCCTCTGGGGCGTCCCCGGAGCCGTTGTGGGGCATTTTAAATCCATCAAGACAGGGACCCTTCCCGCACGCACGGGCCCCTGCATTGTCGAGAAGAGTAGTGCTGACCCGTGGACTCCGTCCACGACATCTTGCCGAAATGGTTCCAGGGGGAGCCGCGGAAATGCTGCCGAAAGGCTATCCACATGCCGGCGCGCCGCCGGCGCCTGGCCAGTGGTTGGGACCCACACTCCGACGAACTGGCGGGGCGTCCCGCGGGCCTGCACAGCCAGTCGCAGCCGAGGAAGGGGGGGGGCAGAGCTGTCAGAATCGGCCCCTGGGCCCCCCCCACTGGCGAAGCGCACCAGTGTTGTCTGCTGCGTCCAGCCGTGGCGGCGAGGAGCCCTCCTGAAAGCAAAGTGTCTGTGTGTGAACTCGGCCTCCGCCGATTTCGTCTGGCCTGAGCCTGGGCGGAGGCTGGCATCCTCTCTGCGTCCATCGCCTGGGCCGCCTCTCGGAAGCACGCCCAGATCCTGTGCCACCCAAACACCTCGCGGCGCTGCGCCGCGCGAGGCCCGGTAACCTTCGCGCCCTTGTGCCCGCACCCTCGGAGATGGGCAACGCTCCGTATGCAGCCACGAGCCGTGTGAGGGGTGTGCCGAGCTGGAAGGTAGAACCGCTGCGCGCCCTTCTCTGACACAATATTGGTTTCTCCTCCACCCTCCATCTCCGCAGAAACGAAACCCAGAATTCCAGAGTAAGTGCCACAGCGCAGGTTTGCGAAAGACGTCTCGCCAGAACTCTGGAGCCCACCTGGGACCTCGGAGAATCCGCCGACCCTGTCGGCGTGTGGAAGAGACTGCTCAGTTTGACTCGTCGTCGTCGTCGTCGTCGTCGTCGTCGTCGTCGTCGTCGTCGTCGTCGTCGTCGTCGTCGTCGTCGTCGTCGCCTTCGCCGCTCGCTTCCCCCCTTTTCCCTAGGCCCGTCGCCGTTCCCCCCACTTTCACTGGGTTCTCCTCCTCGAGCGCGCCAGCCACAGCGAACTTGAGCAACGTTGTAGTTGAGTCGAAGGGAAGCCCCTTCCCTTTGATCCCTTCCCCGCCGGGAGGTTCCTGGGGGTGAGGTCCCGGAGGGGGTCCTGGGGGGGTCCCGGGGGAGGGGTCCCAGGGCAGATACGACTCCCCCTCGGGCGGTTGGGCGGCCAAGAAAAGCCGCAGGTCGCTGTAAAACTGCCCCAAGATGCCTCCAAGACGGTCCTCGAGGGCCCCGAATCGCCGAAGTATCGGCCCAAGTCGCCAAAGTAGCCTCCAGACGGCTCAAAAGTTTCCAAAACGCTCCAAGAGGCCTCCAAGAGGACTTCCAAGAGGGCCCCAAGAACAAAAATCATAGATTTCCCGAAATTGTTTGAAAGAATTCGGCATTCTCGCCTTGTCAGCTTCCCGACGCTCCAAGACAGGCCAGGAAGCCCCCAAGACCGCCCCAAGATGGCCCAAGAGGCCTCCAAGAGAGCCCCAAAACGACCCAAGAGGGCCCCAAGACCGACCGAGAGGCCTCCAAGACAGCCGAAGAGGCCCCCAAGACGGCTCGAAGGAGCCCAGACGGGGGACGACCCGAACGGACATTTCGAGCCCTCGGCCTGAGAAGCTCTCAGGAAGCCCCCAGAGGCCCCTAAGAAGCCCCCAAGAAGCCCCAAGAAGCCCCTAAGAGACCTCCAGGAAGCCCCAAGAGGCCCCCACCAGGCTTCCAAGCAGCCCCCAAGAGCTTCCCAAGAGGCCCCCAAACTACCCCCAAGAGGCCCCCGAGAGCGCTCGTCGTCGTCGTCGTCGTCGTCGTCGTCGTCGTCGTCGTCGTCGTCGTCGTCGTCGTCGTCGTCGTCGTCGTCGTCGTCGTCGTCGTCGTCGTCGTCGTCGTCGTCGCCATTCAGGGTCGGCGGCACCGGCCGTAAGGCCTTCGAAATAAACCTCGAGCGTGGTGTATATTTTCCGTCGACGTGGCGGGCCGAGGAATGGTCTTGGGGGGCGGGGCGTCTTCTCGGCCGACCACGGGACCCTGGAGAATGGCCTCCGAGGTTATGGAATCTGTTTCGTGAGTGTCGTTGATCCACGAACGATCCGTGCGAGACGTCTGTGACCCATCTGGAGCCTGGGGGGAAACCGTCAGAGTTGGTGCCGGCATTCCGTGGACGTGGCGAGCCGACGAACGTCCTGGGCGAGGGTTGGTTGCTCCGCCCCAGGGCGTCGGAAAATAAACCTCCAAGTCTGGGTTTATTTTCCGAGGGTGTGGCCGCGCCCTGGGTCATGCATTGGGAGGGTACAGACGGAACACCGCAGAAACGAAACCCAGAACTCCAGAGTAAGCGCCAAAGCGCAGGTTGACGAAAGACGTCTCTCCAGAACCCTTTTGCCCACCTGGAACCTCGGAGAATAAACCTCGAGCGTGGTGTTTATTTTCCGTCGACGTGGCGGGCCGAGGAATGGTCTTGGGGGGCTTTGTTTTGGGCCGACCGCGGGACCATGGAGAATGGCCTCCGAGGATACGGAGTCTTTTTCGTGGGCGTCATTGATCCACGAACAATCCAGGCGAGACGTCTGTGCCCCATCTGGAGCCTGGGGGGAAGACTTCGAAGTAGGTACTGGCATTCCGTGGACGTGGCGAGCCGACAAACGTCCTGGGCGAGGGTTGGTTGCTCAGCCCCAGGGCGTCGGAAAAGAAACCTCGAAGTCGGGGGTTATTTTCCGTGGGTGTGGTCGCGCCCCGGAGCTTCTGTTCCGCCTTGTACGTTGGGCCGTCTGGCGGCCTCCTGGGAGCCTCTTGGGGCCCTCTTGGGCTGTCTTCGGTGCCCCTTGGGCCGTCTTGGGGCCGTCTGGGACCGTCTTGGGCGGCTCCGGGGCTGTCCTCGGACTGCCTTGGAGCTCTCTTGGGTCGTCTTTGGCCCCTCTTGGGGCTGTC